TGAGAAGCTTGGCACAAGAAAATAGTCATGGGCTTTCATGGAGCTACCCGACTGAGGGAAGTTAGCCTGTATTCACAGGGCCAATGCTACGCTCACGTGTGCAGTATTGTATGTTGGAGGGATAGATCTATTCTCCCTGATCAGTGCAGGTTTATTTTCTTAAGCTTCAGAAATATTACGTGAGTCTTAACGACAGTTAAAAGCATAACACATTAACATACATCTGCATTTGTAATATCCAGTCAGAAATATAGATCTATTTCCAACAGCAGTAAAAACCGGCAGTGGCACCTTCAGCAAATCGTTCGAGAATATTTAACAAGATGTCACTCTTAATTTGCATTGTCTTCTTGAGTGTCAGGGAGGCAAAATGAAAGTATGGAAAAGATCAATAAAAATACAAGGTTCAAACTAGAGGTTTGTTGACTAAAAAAAAAGTTTTAAAATTATATACTTGATTATTTCTGTAGTCTGTACAAGTGCGCTGTGTCATTTTCATGTCTAGCTACTATCTTTACCTAGCTCCTACTTAAACATGAGCATAATTAGCCCTTGACTTGCTATTATTTTCTGTGCATCATCTCCTAGTTGCATGGTGCAATCGCTGTGTAGTGATTTGCCCAGCAAGCTAGTTTTTGAGAGCTGAAGAGATGGCTCAGAAGTTACACATTTCAGTCCTAATGTATCTGCTGCATTTGTAAAACTTTCATGCTTTTAAAATGTAAAGGAGGTGGAAAAGGATTCACGTGTCTTTAATGTGGAATGTAACAGCTGATTGTCGGGTACTGTGAATAGTGTTTTACGTAATTGTTCTCCAACTGGGAACAGTAAATTATAGGAAAGTGGGATTTTCTTACATTAGATTTATTATGTTCCTTACTATTTTAGGAATTCACCAGATGCAGTGTATAGAGCAAAAACCCCACTGAATTTAGTAGAGATTGCTAACTTAATTTATCTAAGTGATGATAGAGTGGGGTGAGTGACAGAGGATTAACTGGGGAACTCTTTTTGTCAGTCAGGTTACGTTATTAAAATGAGTTTAGTAATCTTTACTCTGAGAGCTATACATTTTCAGAAAACTGATTATTTTTTTTCTATATGAGCAGGAGCAATCGGGAGGGTTCTTAGATGCATTGCTGGAGCAAGTTTCATAACTAGATATGCCTATATTAGCAAATATTTCTGATTGTAGTTTTAAATTTTTACAAGAGTATATCTTTATTCTTGAATCTAATATATTTTGGAATTGAGGATATCTAAATGGAATTTTAGGAGTACATTTCTGCTATGTAGCAAGTAACAGATAGTAATTCTTACGTGATAGGGGCTACACATTCTAGCATGTGATATAATTGCATGATATTATTCTGTGTACTATATAGCCAGGCCTGTCACAGAGCACATCCTTGTTTGGGTACTTTAATGGTTATACTGTTGAATTGCCTTCTGACTGGGTAATAGTGGGCTATGGAGTAGCTACATATTGTTTATTTTATTGTCTTTTTTGAGTTCTTGAGCTACTCAAGATATTCAGGTGAGCACTTCGAATTGATCATATAGCCAAGGAATATGACTTTATTTTCTTTGTTGGACTTTGTTGTTGTTAGTTGGTTTGGGTCTTTTGGGGGGTTGGGTTTTTTGGGCTTTTTTAGCAGTCCATAGTGTTTATTTAGGTCAGGACAAGAATATTGTGGTTTCTTGTGCATATGTACACTCGTACACGGATATATTGGACTGTAATGGCTAAACACTTTCTGTGCAGAAGCTTTGCATGAGCAATGTACTTGCTTAAGAGTAATTAAAGAAACTTCTAGGTTTTATTTCAGTGTGTTCACATATTCTTAGATATTTCTAAATGGATTGAAGCATTTGGTCTATATTAATGTGTATTGATGCTTAGCATAGACTGTTGTGTCCACATTCTCTGTTGCATCTGAAGTTTTCTGAGCCGTATCTTCATCCAATTAGCAAAACAGAAAGCCACAGATACAACTTACTTCTCCTGGCTGACATAGGAGCTGAGCTGCCAGGTGGGAAGGAGCTGACCTGAAAAGCTCATCGGCCTTTTAAAGTGAGCTGGAGTATTTTAAAAGCTCATTGAGCGTGGTCATTGAAATCCCTTTACTCAGGTGAAGTGCGTGTAGGATTAATGAAATGAATGTTAGCAGATTGAAGTTTGGCAACATGAGCTGGATACATAAAATACTTAACAATGTACGTATAAGAAAGAGTCTTGTCTGGGGATTTGAAAATAACTTTGCATGTAAATGAAGTACCTGGTTTCACAGAGGTTGTGTAGACCAGAATTGAAGGGCTTCCTTTCTGGCTTATACAACATTTTCACAAACATGAAAATCTTTGAAGTTTTCTGCATTTTGTAGATGCGAACTCAGTTGTGAAAAAAGACCTCTTTGGAAAATACTTCTCAATGTGAATATAGTGGTTTTTATCTACTGCTGGTGCACAAATTAACATCAGTTTGTGTTATGTTGCATCTTGTTATCAGTTTAGTAATCACTTAGAACGTTTGCCCCTTACTAGATCACTGTTAAAACCAGTAAACTACCAAAACACGGAATTGCCAGAGTGAACCTGAATGAATCTGTAATAAAGCTTCCTGAGCAAGAGGCAAAGAATCACGTAGCTCTGAGCTCTGTGTGTGATGACGAGAGTTCTTCAAAACCAGTGCAGAATGTGATGCTCCCTATGCGTTGCTCATTTGCAGCGGGTGCGAGATGGTCCATTGCTCGTGAGGTGATACAAATGTTTACCGAAGTAGTGTACAGCAAACTCCTTGGGTGGAATGGTTTTATATTTAGATGAGGTAAATCCTTTTTCTGGGAGCACCTGCATTGGTAGCTCCTTGCCTTCTCAATCTGATATATACATTTTTGTCTTTTTGTATATATATATGTGTTTGTGTATAAATAACAAAATTCAGTGGGTGAATTGCCTCAAAACTGCTTTAAGACTGAGCAGTTCCTTTTTCTCAGTGTGGTATAATACTTGTGTATATAACATATAAATGCATGTAAATATATGCATTGGACCGCCTTAAAGCCCACATACAGAAACAGAGATGCAGAGAAGACATAGGGTCCAAGACATAGGCAGAGAGGAGAGTATATGTCTCTTGGCTCCATCCCTTTAAGATTATTTTAATCCTTTCTCTATTTGAAATCCTAGTCAGAGAAGTGTTACCATTAATTTGATTACAAGATCATTTTAAAGCATTTTTTTCTGTCCCCACTTCCCAGCCACCCCTTTTTGGCAGTAAACCTGTAGTGTTGGCTTCATGCTCTGAAGAGAGTTTTTCAGTGTCTGTTTCATGAAACACCTTCATCTGAAACAGCAGTAAACTGTTCTCGTCTTCACAGTTTATTTAAGACTGGTGTGTAAGACAAAGAAAAACACGTGTCAGCTGGAGGAAATGCCAGGTGGGGGGGGAGAACACGTTATTGCTAACTTAACACAATTAAGACGCCTTTTGAAGCATTTTCTAAAAGTAATACTTGCCCCCATCCATGTAGTACACGTTTCTGTGTGTCGTAACTATCCTAGTAGAAAAAAAGTAAAGACGACGCATCAAACTTATGCCAGCTCATGTCTTCCTAGCGATATGAGAGCTGACGTCTTTCACAAGTTGTGGGAAATGTTGTCAAAATACGGTAGCTGAAAAGACCCACTGCCTGCTGTGAAATATTCAGCGGGCACCCTCTTGCCAAAACTGTGCGCCACCTTGGCTTCCAGGGTGTGGTGGAAAGAGGTGGCAGCTGCCCAGCCAACAGTTCTCCATCCTTCTTTACCGGTACAACCGAGCTATGTCAGCAAGCGCTGACTTTACACATATGTTCGTATCGGTAACAGTTGTGACCTGCAGTCACAGTGTATCTTTGTTTTTTTGAAATACCGTATTATACAGCAATACTAAGATTTATTATGGTTTTATGGAATCCAAATGCACTTAAGAGACCTAAAACAGGGTGACTTCTACACGTAAGCCAGACAAGACGCGTCGTGTTGTGAGGGTGAACAGATTTCTGTCCAAAGGGCCTTTCTTGGCGCTTTGCCCTGAAGTTCAAGGCAGAGTGAGATGATCAGCAGATTTGATTGTTACAAAAATAAAATGTGTTTTGGCATGGTTTTACTTCTTCACCCCTTGGTTACACAAAATGTACTCTGTGGTTGGATAGAAATTTGCAGTTCTGCTCTCTGTTTCCTCTGCAGGGAGTCGCTTGCCCATGGAGCAGAAGGTAGCTTGTGGTGGGTGCAGAAGAGTGCAAAATGTGACAGCCTGGGGCGTTTCCTTAGTTTTATTAGAAGTGTCCTTACAGAGTCGCTATCTTGCGTATGGTTTTAGACTGAGGGGAAATTTTTGACAGGCAAATGTATACCATTAAAATCCTGGTGAGCTGAGCTTACACGCTGAGACTGACCTCATTCAGATGGGAGCTGCGGAGAGCACTGCAGTCAGCAAAGTGCGTCATCTGAGTGTAGTTTGAGAAGCGGTCAGGGCTGTAGGGGGTGAAACTCACACTGGCAAACCACCGCACTTGGGGTCCACGTTCCAGTTGCCTGTAGTGTAGCAGTCTGGGTTGCCATCTGAAAGCTTCTACTCAGTTTTAATTTATGCTAGTAAAAAAAAAAGTCTCTTTGAATCACTTTTGATTAATTTTTGTATTTGTTTGCTGCTTTAGACTAAAGAAAAGCAGCCAGAAAATTCCCTCAAAATGTAAACTGGTAATTTGCTACATGCTTCATTTTTAAATACTGGAGTGCGGCTGACGGGGTCACTTCTTGGGAATCTGGATCTGTGCCTCTGAGTACCTCTGACTGCGTACGGGCTGTTGGAAAGGGATGTGACACCAGAGGTACAGCCGGGAGCGCTGCGGTGAGCAGTCAGAGCTCCCTGTCGTGAGCAGTGACAAAGCACACAACATGTTTGAAGCAGTTGGGATGTCATATGTAGTAAAAATCTCCCCCCCGACAAAAGGTTTCTAATTTATAGCAGAGCACTTTCCAGTCGTTGGCACTCGTTCCTGGCTGTTGGAAGTCGGCATGACGGGCTCCTTGCACGCTGAGGAATTCTCAATGATTGTGGCCAACTGAATGTCATCCGGATGCTTTTCCTCGGTGTCCTGCATCAGTTGGCTCTGCCTGCCGGGCTCCTCTGAGGTGTACGCCGTGTTTTTGGTCCACGCCTTCCCGTGGTCTTGTTCAGAGGTCCCATTTCGCCCTTGCAAACGCTCACGTCTCTGGCGGCACAGGAGGAACAGGCAGCCATAGAGGAGGATTGCGGCGATGATGAGGAGCAGGACGCTGCTGGTGAGCCAGATGCCCAGCGCCAGCTCTTTCTTGGTGTTGCTTGTGGATGCTGGATCTCGTTCCAGTGTGTTAAAAACTCTGCACTGGTCACTGGAGGGGTTTGCGGACTGGCAGGTCACGCACACGATGTATGTTGTCAGCGGAGTCAGGTTTTCAACAACAAAGGAGGAGCGGCTGGGGGGGACTCTCTCTTCCTTCTGAAAGCTCTTTCTTGAGTAACTCGAGAGCATGCTGTTCCAGTTAGGGTGGTACATGACGCTGTAAAAGCTGTCAGCACAACTGGCCATTTTTGGCCAAATTACCATTGCCGTGTTTCCTGTGATGTTTTGGACGGTTATTCCCATCGGGATGTTGCTTAGGTAGGTTTTTTTGTCTTTCCCAGTGCTGATCTCACTGTGGAAAGGGGAAATGTTAGTTTCCCAGGGAGGTAGCTGAGAAGTTGGAGATGTCGTGTGGATCTTAATCGTAGTGCTCTGTAATTTAGGAAAGGAGTTTATTAGGAAACTATGCTCTTATTGCTGGTACTGCTGCATCAAAGTGAGAGTTGGCAGTTCATAAAGTTTGGAGTGTTTTAAAATCTGTACTTTTTTCCCAAGTGAAAGGCTAGATATACACTTACAGAAGTTCAACTGGAGCTGCTGCCTGTCCAGGTGATCAGTTGTATCTCATCTCCGTGGGAGACGGTGTGTCTTGCAGAATTTGCAATTGGGGAACCACTTATATTCAAAGGGGTTTTTTTAAGATGACGCTGTGCTTGCAACAGGGAATGAGGGGATGCTGGCCCTCAGCGTCCTGCTCAAAATTTGCCTTTCTGTCAACTTTGGTATAGACGCTGCCTACATATTTGGGACAGTCCCTAGAATAAGGTCACTGGATATTTTTGTCTTAAGGAATTTGTGGTTAGGTAACATTAAAGGAAATAAAACCTCTTCAAGACTATAAAGGGGAGAGGTGAATATGCTTTGTACTTCTGAAATACATACCCCTCCCACAGGGAGAAACAAATGATCAGAAGTTTAAACAGATGAATTAATGAATGCCTCTCTCCTTTGGAACAGTGCTGGAGTATTCTTTTTAATAGAACAAACATTTCTAATCAGATGAATTAATGAATGCCTCTCTCCTTTGGAGCAGTGCTGGAGTATTCTTTTTAATAGAACAAATATTTCTAATAGGAGAAAAAGCTTAAAATGTAACATAATTTTATATTCTGGGAGTCAAACTCCCTTTAAAAAAAAGTTATTGAAATTTAAACTGAATTGAACTGCTGTCTGGTGTGGCACTAAACTAAAGACTGACCATCCAACTAATTAACTCTTTACCTGTCATGCAAAATACTCACCTAATGAGTATGTTGATAAAAGGGCTTTGGATTTGTTTGTTTGTTTTATAAAAGAAAGAAACGCAGCATTTGCTTTTCTCTTTAGTCTGAGTACCTTGCATTTTATTTTACTTATTTGGTGTTTTCTGTAATCTCAAAGCTTGTTTTTGTGAGCAGTGAACTTTCTTAAGTGGTAAATGAGAGGTGGCAGGAGTGGATCTTGATGGATAAATTCCTCTGGCCATCCACAAGTCTTGATTTTTGCCTGTCGCAGTCAATTGAAAAACAAAACAGTACGTGGAAACATCACCAGATATTATTTTGTCTCCAATATCATTACATTAGATTCTTACTCACCAGTACTCTCTGTTTTCTCATGGTGAGTTAGCACGCCTGTAGCCACTGCCAGGGCAGCAGCTGTGATGGTTGTACGTTGGCGGCATCAGTATTACAATATTTAGTCTTGGTGCTGGTCAGCCTCTTGGAAAAGCTTTCTCAAGCTAGGCTTAGTTGCTGAAGTACAGCTTTCACTACAGCATACCCTTTGGATAGATCGTGGTTTTTACAAAAACTAATACTCTCTTCTGTGCTACACGATTGTATGTAATTCCATAGTCTGTCCGTCCTGAACTAATACTCCTCCTCATAATACAATTAACATTAGAAAAACTGCCAATATTCTGAGATTTCTGAGTTTCTGTTACCACTGGAAATAGTGTAAGGAAGACATCTATTTTTTGCAGTTTTTTAAATGCTTCTGTTAAAGAATATCTTCCTTTCAGGACAAAAAGTTGGCTTCTGCCTTGGCAGACTTTGAATGAAAATTGTTATAAAATAACAAACCAAACCTGGATATTTTTGTTCATTGGGTGGGCCTTTTTTATTTTACAGTTCTGAGGGTAACTTTTTCAAAAGAGCCTACTTGGCAATTTAATCTGATTCTCTTGTAGTTTAATACTCTGTTTCTATTGGCACTCGTGTCAAAGTTTTTTTCCACTGTGAAAGTTTCTTGCTTTTTTTATGAACATCAATTCCCATGACACTAACTCTGTATTGCTTTGTTTATGACTTTGTTGTAAAAATGACTTTTTTTTTTTTTTTTTTTTTATAGTCAGGTTTCAGATGTTAAGTCTCTTGGCTAAATAACAATTTACTATTGAAAATTTTCCTGATTAAGCAAGCTCATAACACTTGCTCGTAACATATTCTGAAGTTATTCTGTAATATTATTATTGTATTTTATACTCGATAGGAGGCTGGCAAAATATGTATTATTTTAGTGGGATCTTGATTGTTACATTACATTAACAGAATTCTGTGACTGTTTATGTATGAAAATAGTTGCTAGAGGCTTTTGGATTATACTTACAGGGAAGTGGGAAGAAAAAGATGTATGTTCGTCTTCATTACAGTGTAAAACCTTAGACATGACTGATCTGGGTAGATGCTGCCTTTCTAATCGTGTGGTAAGCGCACCCTTTTTGATAAAGCAACAATATCAAGGAATTGACTTTGCTATCAAATAAACTTAGACACATTTTGGCATCCACCCAACTTCTGCAGATATTAAAATCAGGCACATTAGTAAAATCAGAGCTTTTACTTGCTCATTTGTCTTCTCTTTAGCTGGTAGATCCCAATTACTTAAAACTATAGTTTATTTTTATAGAACACTTACTAACACAGTGTAGACACAGTAGTTTCACCCTTACAGCATTTTGTCAGTTGAATGTTTGGATTTTAGTTGAACAACAATAATACTGGGGTTTTATTATTACAAACCATCAGTTATTAAAAGATATATAATTACTGGCATGTAAATGTTTGGAAAACCCATTTGATGTTCTATAGATTATAAAGTCAGTACTTACCGTCACTTCCTGATGGAAATTTCAGAACAGGATTTTTATACGGTGACGCTGCTGCGAAAATGACATAAACACTAAATTTTCTGTATCCTTTCTCACATGAGTTATTTCCTGCCTGATCTCTGCTTGCCAGTTTGCTCGGGTTCCCTGGTCTGGATTCTCATTGCTTGGTGCTTTCAGTTTTTTCCTCCGATGCTGCTGGTGGCATGGTTTCTTTGTCTCTTCCACTTAAATTCATGCAAGAGCACATCCTGTCTAAAGATGCTGCTGCCTTGCTCTTCAAAGGACATACAGGAGAAAAAATAATGTCTTTTTCCCCCCTCTCTTGCTTGCCTCCCCCGGGACAGTGCACTGCCTGAACATCCCTGTTATATGCTCTTGTGCCTGTACCAGTGATGCTGTGAGTGATTAATGTTAGCACTTTGATGACATCAGCAACTAGCAATTCTCTCTCTCTCTTTTTTTTTTTTTAATTGAATTTAAGTAGGGGAGGGAGCAAGAATAGCTTAAAAAAACCCAGAGCTCCTTCTCTCCTTCCTTCCCTTCTTCCCCCTGCAACTTTGTTAGTGGCTTCTTCCCGAAGCATTTTATGCTTTTGTGCATTGTGGGGGGGGAAGTGGCGGTGGCGTGTGGTGTTTTCTAAATCCCTTGTCGCAGTTTATAAAGCTCCGTTAATCCAATGTTTACAGGTGGACCATTTTAGGTACTTCCCCGTGAGGGTTACATTAAAGATAGACATATTTTTAGATTGGTTGGCTTGCTATTGTTATGTACTGGTGAGTTTTTAAATACTGAAATCATGTTTTTCGGGCTTGCTTTTCTATGACAAATTTCTGCTGTGCAAAGAGGAGTTGCCTCCACTTAACCTCACAGCAGTAAAACGCTGTAACCTACTGGAGTAAAATTCTCCTTGCACTATAGCCAAAATAGATAGTTTGGACACATTTATTTTAGAGACCTACCTGACTGGAAACATCAAAAGCAAAAGATGAAATCTCACCTTTTAGTGAGATTGTACTCTGTATAAATACAGAGTGTAAACTGTATAAATGCTTAGTGCTGGCTCTGTCATCTTTACTCCCCCGATCAGTTACTTACGCATGTGGATGTGATCCCCTTCAGCCTTCTCTTCCCCAGGCTCACCAGTCCCAGCTCTCTCAGCCCTTCTTCACAGGAAAGATGCTCCAGTCCCTTAATCATCTTTGAGGCCCACTGCTGGACTCTCCCATACGTCTCTCCATGTCTCTCCCATTATGGGGAGCCCATCACTGGACCCAGCACTCCAGCTGTGTCTCACCCGTGCTGAGCAGAGGGGACAGATCACCTCCCTTGACCTGCTGGCAGTGCTCTGCCTGATTCAGCCCTGCTGGCTGCCTTTGCCGCGAGGACATACTGTGGGCTTGTGGCTAGCTTCTTGTTCACCAAGACCCTCAAGATAAGAAAAAACACATTGCCCCCTCCTCCCCCAAGCCCCACCTTCTGCAGGTCAGGCTGTCTTGTTTTGTATAGTTTCTTCACACAGCTGCCCCCGACTGACCAAAGGGCTATTCCAGACTGTTTGACATCATGCCCAGTATAGAAACTGGGGGAGTTGGCTGGGGGGCAGCGATTGCTGCTCAGGGATGGGATGGGCATTGGTCAGCAGGTGCTGAGCAATTGCATTGTGCATCACTTGTTTTGTATGTTCTTTTATTATTATTATACTTATTTCGATTATTAAACTGTTCTTATCTCACCCCATGAGTTTTCTCACTTTTACTTTTCCGATTCTTTCCCTCATCCCACTGGGGCGGGGGTGGAGTGAGCGAGTGGCTGGGTGGCACTTAGTGGCTGGGGTTAAACATCAACACAAGTATTAGAGAGAATGAAAACTGCAGAAAAGGAAAGGAAACCTGCTGCAAGAAAGGTCGGCAAGGTTCCCTTTTAAACCCAAATTTTGGGATATTAGGAGAACAACTCACTTACAAAAATGGAGGATGTTAAGTTAGCTAACTCCCCTTTGATCTGTGGCTTCAGCAAACAGTTCCTAAATTCCTACTCAGCATCAGTCTGTACAGTTGTGTTTGCTTTGAAGAAATAATCATTAATGTGGCCAAGCACGTGATCCTATTTATAAAACTCTGGAAGAATTTCCATGAGGTTACATCCCAGACTTAGATTTGCTTTGATCTGGTGTACAGCTAAGGCATCTGAAAAAGAGAGATCATTATTAATTAGTTGCAGAGAGCAGTAACTGCAGAAGGCTGGGGTTTTTTGTAGTTGAGTCCTCAGAGACTTAAAACACCTATTATGAAGTGAAAATTGAAATAACTTCTTTCAAGATGTTTTGTACATAAAATGGGATGATCTAGGAATAGAAGCTGTGCTTTAAATTCAGGGATCTGCACGTTGCCATTGACTATTTTTTATCCTTTTATACCTGTGTAAATAGAAAAATACAGAAGAGGAAATGTTCATGGCTTTATAAACGTAAGTGAAAGATGCCTGGTGGAAAAAAAAGAAGTGTTTACAGGTTTTCTTGCTAATACAGAGATTTTGGTTGGAGTTCCTGCATTATAAAA